ATGCATGCAAACACTTACACACACACACACATACACAAACACACACATGCATGCAAACACTTACACACACACACACATACACAAACACACACACACACAATCCCGCCCAGACACATAGACACCTACACCGAATATAAAAACTCCTCGTAACACCATCAATAAAGACATTTTTGTTCCTTTGTTTTACGGGTAATGGTAGTCCTGATAGATGAGGGGGATGCTTCTTTTTTCTTCTTCGTAATCTTCCTCTTCTTCTTTTCTTCGTCTTGTTATTTTTCCTCCTCTTCTTCGTTTTCTTCTTGTTCTTGTCCTTCTTCTTCTTCTTCTTCCTCCCTTTCTTCTTTTTCTTCTTTTTGTTGTTTTTCTTCCTCTTCTTCTTTTTTCTTCTTCTTGTTCTTATTCCTCCTCTTCCTCTTCTTTTTTCTTCTTTTTCTTCCTCATCTTCCTCCTCCTCCTCTTCTTCTTCTTCTTCTTCTTCTTCTTCTTCTTCTTCTTCTTCTTCTTCTTCTTCTTCTTCTTCTTCTTCTTTCTTTTTCTTTCTCTTCCTTTTTTTCTTCTTCTTCCTTATAATCCTCTTTTTCTTCTTCTTTTTCTTCCCCCTCTTCCTCTTCAATTTCTTCTATACTTGCCTGTTTGTTTTATATTTGTTTATTTGGTTGTTTGTTTGTTTGAATATTTCCATATCTTGTTTCCAATGCATGATTGTTTTGTTGTTGTTGTTGTTGTTGTTTTATGTTGGTCTCTTTATTGTTTAGTCGTGAAAGTCCTTTTGATTTGTTTCCCTTCAGCTATTCTGCGTTTTTTTTTTTTTTTCATTTCTTTTCATTCCTCTCTTTCTGTTTCATCGTATTCTGTGTTCCTTGCATTCCGCCGTATTAATGTCATGGGAACAGACATCCGCAGTCAGCAAATCCTGTTAATTGCGAGACAGAGGACAGTTTGGATGTCAGCTGATGACCTTATATTCAGCTGATGAAGATGCCGTCATCAGCTGATTGCTAAACTCCTGTCTGTCTGTCTTATTGAATTGTATTTGCTGGTCGTGGGTTTCTATTTTGTTGTACTCGTAGTTCTCAGCGTGGGTTTCCATTTCGTTGTACCATTTGTTCTCAACATTAACAGAGATAGATATCTCCTTGACGACTGCGACGACTTTTCATTCTATTCATATACGATCACGAAAGTGCTTCACGTGCATTTAGTTATCATATTCTCTTTTAAATAAAAATAAATAAATAAAACAGTTACTATATATGTTATAATAACTTGGGATAATTTAGATTCTCCCAGTGTTTCAGAAATACACTTCCACAAAATACACGACGCACTTGGAGGGTAAGTGTATCTCGGAGTACAAATTGAGAACTGCCGCCGTATGTACATAAGTACTGTATCCATGCTTTTACATTTGTTACACATTTAAATACCATTATTTCAAAACGTGTGCTTAAAAGTTGTCGTTTGCTCGAGCACCTACTTAGACTTAAGCGATTGTGTTTACTTATGAGATATCATTTGTTCAGTAATCTGCACAATTTACACCGTTTACTCAAAAGACAAGTTTCTCAGTTTGCTTAAGCGAAACTATTCGCCCCCAAATCCAGTTTACTTAACTAGCCCAATTTACTCTCAGAAAAAGACACCATTTGCACTATGAACATTATTTACGAAAGGCAAAACCTCCTTGCTCAATTTGCTTCAAAGGAACACCAGTTAATCAACATTATTTGCAAAGTCGACTCCGTTTGCCCAAATGACACCCTCAGTCCCTGCGATACACTGTTTGTCCAAGCGAAGTCGTTTATTCTGGCGACACTTGGAAACTCTCGTCGCAGAAGGCCCTCGTCACAAGCTTTTGTTTTCGTAGTGTGTTGACTTTCCCGAAATTTGCGCAAACTAATTATGGACGGTGTTATTTCCCGACAGCGTGCGAGTACTTGTCTTGCGCTGTAAGGAATGTCTCAAAGTCTCATGAAGGTTTTCCCGTCGGCTTGAGGAAGTAATTATATTGGAACTATATAAAGAACGGTAAATCTGTTGGTCTTATGCTTAGGCTTATTTGTGCACATATAATGAGAAGCAAATGATAATAATGATTACGCATTGCAGGAATCTAGATGACACTGTTGATGATATCAGTAGGATGAGAATATTGATAACGATAATATATTTTTTATGGTGATGAGAAAATTAATAACAGGAAAAATGTAAATGAGATTATTATTATAATTATCCTTATTATTATCATCACTGGTAATACAAATGATAATGAAAATGATGATAAAGATGGTGGGAAAAGTAACAATAACAAGAATCATAAAACCAAGATAATAATAATAATAATAATAATAATAATAATAATAACAATAATAATAATAATAATAACAATAATAACAATAACAATAACAACATCAACAATAATAATGAACAAAAAAAATATGCATCAACAATAATAATGAACAAAAAAAAATCATACACCAAAATCAATTTTAAAAAATAC